AGTGAAAACTGCAGAGTTCTGGCCATTAGAATTAGCTCGTCTGTGTTGGGACATTCTTTTGAACAGTGGCTGCTTTGTTTCCTGATAATGTTTTATCTTAACCACTAAAAATGGTACAAAATGAATCAAACACTTGCTGAAAGCTTCATGTTTCTACTTAAAACAGGTGAAGATGAATATCGGTTTAGGTCACAGCTTCTCACGTGGTTTTATTACAAGTTTATTTATTTATTTAACCTTTATTTAACCAGGTAGATCTCACTGAGATTAAAAATCTCTCTTTCAAGAGAGACCTGGCCAAGAACGGCAGCAGCACACAGACAATGCAAAATTCAAAACTACAAATATTAAACTACAATCAAATGAAAGATAAATAAAAGAAAAAACAAGAAACACTCATAAAAGGTAAGATAGAACTAAAACAGAGCACAAAAACAAATGCCTTAWGTACAAACTGATGAAGAAAGGCCCTAAAAACATTAAAAGAGACCGACTCCTTCAGCTTGACGCCTTTCTGCAGTAGATCCCAGGCTGAGGCAGCAGCAAAGTGGGCGGAGCTTTTGCCATAATCAGTGCGAACCTTACTGTTAATAAAATGAACTCATCTGAGTGCAGAAAATGACTTCCTGTTGATATAGGAGAGGATGTGAGGGGCAAGTAATACCAAGATTGCTTTGTAAACAAGAATATGCCATGAACAAATCTGCAGGTGGATAAGTCAGTCCATCCAMCGCTGGTCTACAGATGACAGTGGGTAAGGGCCTGAGACCAGAGATAAAACACAAGGCTCRGTGATACACAGAGTGCAYCAGATGCAACCAGTGAGAAGATGCATGCATATAAATCACATCTCCATCATCTAAGATGGGTAAGAATGTGGCAGCAACAAGATGAAGTTACAACTTCATGAATCTAAACTGCTGCACCTTCCTACGTTTTGATACGTCACTGTGATATTATCTAAAATAAAGAAATAAATAAAGCTTTCAAATGAAACTATTTGTTTGGACAACACTTCTTCAGACAAAACCAAATTAACAGGTTTTTATTAGAAACCTACCACAAACTGAGAGCCCTTTTAAAATCTCTTCTTTGAACAGAGATTGATCATTGATTGGTTTTGTAAGCAATAAGTATATTGGAARCTGGCACATTTGAAACCCACATCAATGCTTAGATGTTGCACTGGTTTTTTTACGGCAATAAATCTTCCTTCACACACTCAGCCTAAATGCTCCTGGTTAACATCATTTGAATAAAACGAGAGTACTTCCAGTCCTTATGGTGATGTGGTTTACAGGTCTGCCTCTAAAACCCTTCTTCACAAACTGAACGTCCTTCATCACGATTTGTCACCGGAGCTTCATTTTAAACACACCAATGTTGTGATCTGTAGCTCCTGATAATCTGACCATGCCTCATTCTCACAGACAAAATCACTGGTTCATGTTCATTTTTTTAAATCGTCATAGGGAAATCTCCAGGTCACCTACAGGCACTTCTCACTGTTTATAGATGTCCTCACACACCTCTGGTCWGATGTCTGAAACCATCTTCAACCGACCATAAACTCATGCATTTCACTCTCGTTTTTTAAATGTTCTATACAAGATTCACTGTCCCGGCTTTTAGTTTCCTCCCTCCTCTTGTTTTCTTATTGTTCTCTGACATTTTGTTGTACTGCTGCCTCTTAACCAGGTCGTCATTATGTGACTTGGCCACTTCCTGTTTCCACTTCTAAACCAAATTTAGATTCTTTTTTTTTTTTAGTTTAAAATGTTGAATTTTGGGCTCATCGGCGCTGATTCTAGTTCTCAACACGCGCAAGTTGTCTCTATTTGCCACAGCTCAGGTCAGAGACGATAGGAAGACAGAACTACTCACAGTTAGCTGCAGAGTTAGCATGAGCTAACGCTYACATGCTAACGATTAGAAAACACTGAACCGTCCTGTTTTACTTACAYGTAGCTGCAGAGGACCACGGGTGACGGGGGCCTGTACTCAAACACCTCGGTGGAATTCTCCGCCTGCTGTGTGTCAGAGCTGTCCAGCTCGGGCTGCACGCTGCCGGYCAGGACGGTGGACCCCTGGGCAGGAGAGACAGTAGCTGCGCTGACGTTTGTTGTCGACGAGTTTTGGGAGTGGATTCCTTCCAAGCATTGTAACAATAAGACAGTTATCAGCAGCACGAACTGGCCGCACAGCAGAATATAACTGACTGAAATCATCGTCACCCTCAAAACACAGCGTGAACACACATACAGCTCATGATAGACTGATTTATCRCACTAGCTTCATAACAAGGGATGTTTTGGGTCTTTGTTGTCGCGAGAGAATGACGTAGTCAAGCCTGCGACACTCCTCTTCCTCTGAACGTATTCATTATTATTTTACATCTTATTATAATTTGTATATGTTTGCACCCCAAGTTCCTTTGCAGTGTATCTATTATGTTAAATTTTTCCTTAATATTTTCAAACTGTCTCATTATAAATCTTTTTTTGTTCAAAGAGCCTTCTGGCTAATTCTGGCATATTTACAGAAATGTTATTAATGTGCACTGTCCCTGTAATAAATAAAGGAGAAATAAAGGATAAATAATCATATTTCTTGTATTCCATAATAACGTGTTCTACTCTGTCCACAGTGGTCACATTTCCCTGCGTGATATTTTTGTATTGTAAGAAGTGTGTAATTAAATCCTGTATGTCCACACTGAAGTCTTGTTATAATTCTTTCTTCTTTTCTGCTGCTTCTTCTTCCAGTTCTCGTTGTTCCCACCACCCTTGAATCTTACAAAAACATCTTCCTTTGTTATCTGCCTCACATCTCTTCTGCCACTCTTTCTTCAGTCTTTCTTTGATTATGGTTCTTTTCAGATTTAGGCCTACTTGCTTTAACTGTATATTTTATGTCACAAATTTCATTCTTGTTAATAATTATTCTTTTCTGTTTCTTGTTCCTGTTCTCATTTCTCACTCTCATTTGAATCTTGTAAATCATTTTTCTTTGTTCTTCATTCCATTGATGTAGTTATTCTAAAGTTGATTTGATGTGCTTTAAATTTGAATCTGAATAAATTATTGTTTGTAGTCTTACCAGTGGTGGATCTAGGATGTTTCTCTGTAAGGGACCACYATATTTATAGAGGGGCCAAGTCTTTGTTCAACATCCTTGCACACAAATCCCCAGTTTTGGTAATATGTATACTTAAAACCAGTCACACATGTTCAAACACTTGTAATGTATTTAAAAAAGCTAGCACAGTAAATTATCTTTAACAATTTTACATGCATTTTTATTGTTCACAAATAAAAAAACTCAAACACGCAGCATGTTAGAAAACCCAGCCATTGTTTGACTGTAGAAAGACTTTTTCTGCAGGATAGTTCAAACCTTTTGAAGAAGAGAAGAAGACTTCTCTGTACACTTGTTTCATGCTGGACTTTCTTATTTCACTCATTAGCTTCCCCTGTGTTTGGACATGAAACTGCACCCGCCATCATCACTCTCAGGCAAAAGACAGATGACTGACGGGACAGGGGCACTTCAGGGGGCCAATGAGATTTCAGCAGGGGCAATGCCCCTGTGGTCCCACCCCTAGAACCGCCCCTGGACTCAGCTGACATGTTCTGTTCTGTAGGCAGCACTGCCTCCTGCAGCTGGAGTTGCAGAAACAGATGGAATCGAAGTGAAGAAGAAATCGTGAAGTCTCGGACAGACGCTGAAATCCAGTCCGGCCTGTTGGTGCTGGGCCAACAGTGTGCAGGTGCTGGGGTACGGGTACAGCAGGAAGCCTTCGAAGGGACGAAAAGTCATCAGGTCCTGTAGAAACAAATAGATCTGTTTACAATGACATAAATCTGCCTTTGTACTGTTTTCACACACTCTTGTGTAACAACACCAGAGACAGAAAAGTGGTTTATTTATTTATTTATTTATTTATTTATTT